CACCACGCTCCCGCACCTCCACAGCCAGGACAAGTGTACAAATCTACGGTGTTTGAACACCATTCGGATCGCCTTGTTGACTCGGTGCATCTTCGATATAGTAGAAAGTGAAGCAAGCTTTAAGGTGCGCTACAGTGCCTTAGTGAGAGTGTCGTGCTTGTGTCTGTGCCTGTGTGCCAGTAGTGCCCAACCTCGCTCCCGCCTCTCGGTGAGGAGCCTCAGCCGCAACACTGCTTGACTTGTGCCCTACGACCGCCAGCACGGCGCCCATCACCATGCAAATGGATGCTTTGCACTGCGGATACCCGCATGTGTCCGCGGGTATGGGAGGCGGCGTGCCCATAACACCGCCAGCAACCCCACTCAAGACATATCCCGGACGCCCACCTTCTCCAGCTGTGTGGACTCTGGCTTCGCGCAGCACGAGTATGCCCAGCACGAGTTCGCGGACCAGAAGTACAGCCACCCAGAGTTCACAAACAACAACACAGAATATACAAATAACAACACAGACTACCCCAGTAGCACCTACACGCCTACGCACTCCTTATCGCCGCCGGAGTCGCCGATGGTCACGCCCAAGACTACGCCAACCCACACCCCCGCCCACACGCCCCTATCGTCGACGCCTAGCAAAGGAAACTCCAAGTCCAGAACCAGAAAAAATAGCTTCGTTTATGACGTCAGATTAACGGACGAGCAGTTCCTGTTCTTCGTACCTGATTTTGTAAGTTTTCCACTGGCTTGTATGTGTGTCTCTCTGCGCGTGCGTGCGTGTGTGTATGTGTGCGTGTCTCAGTGACGTAGGCAAAGGGAGGGGGAGGGAAGCCTTCATTGCACTCACCAACCCGCCCTATGCGAGCTGAGGGCCTGGGCCACACAAAGCAGGGCTTCTCGATGGCCGGAGTCGCGGGTGGGGAAATCTTAGAGGGTTGTCACGCATTTTGGGGAGTCAAGTGTGGGGCCGGCGGGATTTGAAGGGGCAGAAATATCCCATACGTTTTGTGAAGAAGGTTATTATTTTCAATGCACCGGGGTTGCTTGTTATGCTTGGTATATTTGGTTTTGTTAAGGTTCCAGTAATGGTTCATTGTTGCTTTGAAGAATTTAACTGATTTGTTTTGGTATAAAGAAGTAAATTGTATGTCCTTTTCGCCTTTAGCAGCCTCTGTTTATCATCTTTGTTGTGGAGGGGAGAAACCTTACGTTTTTCAGTGTTTTGTTGGGCGGCGGCCAGTTGGCCCACTGCGAAGGAATGTGGCAGTAATATCTCACGGCAAATTGAAGATGATATGAAACCGAGGGACCTCTTCTAGGAAAGCGTTAGTTCTCTCGAGTTTATAGTCTCTTTAGGTTATTTAGAAGAGCCTTTGTCGATGATGATGCAACGTAGGAATGAGGGAAGAAGCGGTCGAGTTGGTTGAAAAGAGAGCTAGAATTTTACCGTGTGGGAGCGAGGCGACGCTGGAAATAGCCCCCTGGCAGTGGCGTCTTGCCAGCCCTCACGTCACCACTTTGCCTCTATCCTCTCTATATCACCTCGTCGCCTCTCTCTCTCTCTCTCGCTTCTGTCCCTCCATCTATCCTCTAGTCCTATTTCACCGTCTCTCTCCTGTCTTTCCTTTGTTTTGTTCGTTTAGGTCCACTTTCTCGCTAGTTTTACAGTGCCTTTGATTGTCCCTTTTCTCTCCTTTTCACATCTGCTCGCCATTACCGTTTCCGCGTGGGCAGAATCGGGGAATTCCCGATAATCCCACCTTAATGCGCGTGTCGTCCACTTGAGAGGACAGGGAGGTTTTTAGTGGTCGTGCCATCCCGTTGTTTATCGGTTTCTCGTTCATATGAAATACGAGCCGACGCCTGGAGTAGAAGATCCGTCTATCGTATGTGACAGGCTTGTTAGGAGGCGGGGGGGGGAGGGAGAGGAGGGAGGGAGTGGGGGTTTGGGAAAATAAACAGTTGGAAGATTTGAAGGTCATGCAGCATTTGTTGCTTGGATGAACGTTAGGTTTTAAGGAAGATAAAATTTGATGTAGCTCATGATTGTGCCTTGTAGATTTTTAGATTCAAATGCCATCATGTATTGTATGTATAGTTTATTTAGTATTTGATTTGTTTCTAATATTTACTGTTGATATTAATATGCATTGTGTCTTGTTTGCAGGATTTGGTTAAGTCCCACTTGATGTTCGCGGTGCGAGAGGAGGTGGAGGTCCTGAAGGAGAAGATTACGGAATTGATGGAGCGCATCAACCAGCTGGAGTACGAGAACACCGTCCTGCGGCAATACGCGACGCAGGAGGCGCTCCAGCAGATCCAGCAGCCCCACCACAACTCCAACACCTGAACCCCCGCGCCCCACCATTAACACAGCGCCTCCTCATGGCCGCCCTCGCGGTGGCCCCCCCCAACTCCCTCTCGGCGGCAGCTGATGCAGCGGTTCCTGGGCCTTAGGCGGCCTGAGCGGTGTGCACCCTCTTCGGCGGGCTGACCCCGGCCGCCCGCCCCGCCCACACGCCGCCCACGGACGCCCACGGCACCCAGCATCGTCATACAAGCTCATCATTTTCATTTCCATTACGGCTCCGGCTAATTATTTAGGCTTTGTTGTGTATATAGTCCATTCAGACTCCACCAAGTTTGTACACATTATTTTTGTTGGCCTTGTATTACAATAGTGAGGTGTAAGGAGTTTGTGAGCGTGATGATAGATGAATCAATATATATAAATGTATGTTTTGCTTGGCTTACCGTCAAGAGGACAGGGCGCGCGTCACAGCAGGAGCAGTGGGGCAGCCGGGCGGCCATCGCGCCGGCTGCCCTCTTTCAAGAAGCGCTTGGACCATGCTGGACCCGCGCCTCCTCACGCACTCCACACAGCGCTCATACACTCCAACACACGTGTTGTGTTCACAGCATCTCCATCATTATTCAGAATTATTTGTCAGTGATGTCTAAGGGTAGTGAGGTAGCAAAGTGGTGATGGTAACGCGAGAAGGACAGCAGCGCTACGGGTGAGCGAGTGAATGACGCCCGGCGCCGCCAGGAACGCCGGCCACGACAGATAAGGTGCGTGGCTCAAGCACACGCACTCTGAGGCCAGGAATGCACAGGTCAACCCGCGCTGATCAATCTCTCTGCTCGGAGAAGTCGAAGGTGTCAGCTGTTGGTATGTTTTACTGCCTTACGTGGGACAAGAAACGACAGGTTATATAGATTTATCTTCTGTGAATGATGACCCCCCCCCTCCCGCCTTCCCCAGGATAAAGCTTGTACCGACAGCAGTACTGTAGTTACACAAAGGTGCTCACGGCTAGCATGAAACACCTGAAAATGTAAAATGTCTACTGATCAGGAGGACTGAAGCCTCCCCCACCCCGCGCTCTCCCGCCCCAACGACCCTGTGCCTCAGAAGACAACCCCAGTATAGGAGCACCCTGCTTGGCACTAAGCACGTGAAGGCATGTGATATTATAGTATATCCTTTCCTCCCTCCCTCTCTCTCTCCTCACCGCTTTCTCACCCTCTTCCTCCACCCTTCCTCTGTTTCCACCTCTTCTCCTTCCCGTCCCCCAGCCCAGGTCAGCACCTCAAAGGAGGTAGCTCATTCACTTCCTCATATTGGGGAGGTTCCTCGTAGTGCCGGCGGCCGGAGGGCCATCCGGGGGAGGTTCTCGCTCCTCCCCGGGTGATGACGACGTACTCCCTGCTTGAGGCTTGACGAGGCTAGTCGAACTTTTACCATGTAGTGTCCACGTTTGACAAGTGGACGGAAGTCACTTTTTGTCCAGTTTTCCGCTGTGCCATTCTGCCTGAGGTATTGTAGGACCACGACCAGCCAAACACAAACTAGAGGTCTCACAACGAATCTCTAGAACTCTTGATGAAAATTTATGTATGACTTTAAAGCTTCTCTTATTTTTTAAACAAAAGATTGACAAGGTTTACTTTTTAATAAAAAAGATATATTGTATTATGATTTCGATGTGTATTGAGCCTTTATGATATTTTTATGCCCCTTGTGTTTATTCTTGTCAATGTCGAAACTACTCTCAGAAACTGTATTTTGTTATATGTACATTTCTAGTTACTGTAACATTGTTGCTCATTACAGTCTCCTGCTGTCATACTATTAAAAGTTCCTGAGGTAATATAGGTTTGAGTATTTTTTTTCTCTCTCGGTGAATGCAAATCGCTTGTGTAATGTCCTGCCGACTGACTGGTGATGTGTACTAAGGTGATATAATGTAAATAGCGTTAAGAGCGTTGTCCCGTGTAACGACCAGGACAATCTCGTTCAATTCTCAACCGGTATTCAGCTACTGGGCAGCGTAGTACTCGCTCGCCCAACTTACCATACACAAGATTTGTATAAAATAAAGCTATTGATATTTAAAATCTGAACTTAGATTTATTCCTTTACTATATTTGATGGAAAATAAAACTCAGTTCACTGAAAAAAAAACAACGGAAGGAATCCATATGCATTGAATAATGATGACGAAGATAATAATGACACCAACACAATAAAAAAGATGAATATCATCATTTGCTCAACTGTATTTAGCAGCCAATGACATACATAACAGGAAAGAAAGCAATGTTAAAATGAAATGAACAGGAAATAAAATGAAATGCACCCCAGAAAAAAATGGTTATTATCAGAGACGCTGCTGAATCTCTGAAGAAGATGAGTAATGAACAAAAAACCAGTCACTGAACTTGCTAACATGAGTAATTAAAACCAGTGAATAACTGTAATAAAGGAAAGAGTGCAGCAACAAGACAAAAATAATGGTAATAGTTGCAAATTACAATATAAAAGCAATTATAAGATATTAAAGTCAGTTGGAACATGTAAGAGTCCACAAAGATAACAGAACACACAAATGCAAAGCAAATAACATAAGATCAATTATTTAAGTTGAACTGCCAAATGACTAGTGGTTATTTCATGGGCAGTAAAAACCTGTGGGGAAAGATAAAACTGGCTGTAGTGC